TTCCTGGGGGTTGTTTTTCTTGGTTGGTCTCCGAGCCCCAGAGTCAGGATCGTTCTGAGCAGTGGTGCTGGTGTTACGATTCGTAAGCTGGGAATCTTGTTGGCACGGGGTTGTAGGCTCCAAAACAGGGTAGGGGCTTCTGTGTGAATGGCAAGTTCCTGGGGTGCACTGTGCTGCCCGGTGTCCCGTTCTGACTGGCACGTGAACTCCCGCTCAGGTGCCATGTCCCGGTGGCCGGCCATGCCCTCTTGGCTGTGGCTGATGCTGATGGGCTCATAGGGCTGTACCAGCTGCTGGGATCCAAGGTTAGTGGCTGGGGATGGGCGTCCTGGGGTGGGAGGGAACGCGATGGAGACGGTCTGGGAGGGAGCGTCTTCGGGGGTTCGTCTCGGCCAGGAAGTCTGGCACGGTCTGGGAGGGAGCGTCTTCGGGGGTTCGTCTCGGCCAGGAAGTCTGGCACGGTCTGGGAGGGAGCGTCTTCGGGGGTTCGTCTCGGCCAGGAAGTCTGGCACGGTCTGGGAGGGAGCGTCTTCGGGGGTTCGTCTCGGCCAGGAAGTCTGGCACGGTCTGGGAGGGAGCGTCTTCGGGGGTTCGTCTCGGCCAGGAAGTCTGGCACGGTCTGGGAGGGAGCGTCTTCGGGGGTTCGTCTCGGCCAGGAAGTCTGGCACGGTCTGGGAGGGAGCGTCTTCGGGGGTTCGTCTCGGCCAGGAAGTCTGGCACGGTCTGGGAGGGAGCGTCTTCGGGGGTTCGTCTCGGCCAGGAAGTCTGGCACGGTCTGGGAGGGAGCGTCTTCGGGGGTTCGTCTCGGCCAGGAAGTCTGGCACGGTCTGGGAGGGAGCGTCTTCGGGGGTTCGTCTCGGCCAGGAAGTCTGGCACGGTCTGGGAGGGAGCGTCTTCGGGGGTTCGTCTCGGCCAGGAAGTCTGGCACGGTCTGGGAGGGAGCGTCTTCGGGGGTTCGTCTCGGCCAGGAAGTCTGGCACGGTCTGGGAGGGAGCGTCTTCGGGGGTTCGTCTCGGCCAGGAAGTCTGGCACGGTCTGGGAGGGAGCGTCTTCGGGGGTTCGTCTCGGCCAGGAAGTCTGGCACGGTCTGGGAGGGAGCGTCTTCGGGGGTTCGTCTCGGCCAGGAAGTCTGGCACGGTCTGGGAGGGAGCGTCTTCGGGGGTTCGTCTCGGCCAGGAAGTCTGGCACGGTCTGGGAGGGAGCGTCTTCGGGGGTTCGTCTCGGCCAGGAAGTCTGGCACGGTCTGGGAGGGAGCGTCTTCGGGGGTTCGTCTCGGCCGGGAAGTCTGGCACGCAGCGGGTTAAGGCAGCGCACAGCCCACTTTAAAGCAGCGGGTTCTGCCTCTCACGCCGAGAGGAGGTCGCTTACGTGTCCCCCGCGGAAGGGCTGAAGCCACGGCTGCTGGCTTACTGTCGATGGGTCTGAAAGGTCCTCTGTAAGGAGCCTGGACCACCGTTCTTTTCTTTTTTTTAATACATTTTTCTTGATTTCAGAGAGGAAGGGAGAGGGAGAAACATCGATGATGAGAATTACTGATCAGCTGTCTCCTGCACGCCTCCCACTGGGGATCGAGCCCACAACCATGACCTCCTGGTTTATAGGTCGGGGCTCAACCATTGAGCCGCACCAGCCGGGCAGCAGTGACTCTTACGTGGGACTGGCCCTTCTCAGCGACAGTTGGGAGAGCACAGGACCGCTGCGGGGACTTGCTGGGTGTTTGACAGCAGCCCTGACCGTTGCGAGTCCTGCGGGGAGGGGCGTGGACAGCCCCCAGGGCCATGCCTGCTCTGGAGCACACGGCCTGCGGCGAGAGGGCTGGAGCGGAGGCCCAGGGGCGCCGGGTTCGGGTTCGGGCAGCAGAGGGCTCCGGTGGAAAGGCCTGGATCCTGGCCTTGGGAGCAGCAGCCTGTCCTGGGAACGAGGGAGGAAGACGGGACCCAGGAACGAGGCAGGAGCTGTAAACCGGGAGCCGCCTGAGGGGCAGCTGCTGGGAGCCTGTGGGTGGGGTTAAGCGGTCCAGGTTGCGTAATAAAACCTAGTAGATCTTAGGAGAGAGACAGCACTTAGTGGCCAGTCCTGGCTTTTGAAAAGGAACCCAGAGGAAAGTGTCGTCTGTGTCTCTGAAGGCCCAGCAGCCTGCGGAGCTGAGGGCGGCCACCAGGGCCCTTCCAAGCCCCGAAGGGGTGTGAGAGCTTGGGGGGCGGGAGGGGAGCGCGGGCAGCGAGGGGCTGAGGAGAGAGCCTGCCTCCCCAAGGGTGCGGCTGGGAATCCCTCCCGCAGGTGTGTGAGCTCTCGGGCCGCCCCTGAGTGCAGACGTTCTCCTGGGAGTGAAGGAAGGCGAGAGGGCGTGGTGGCCGCCGGAGCTGGAGGCTGACCCCCAGGGTCCCGGGCTGCCCTTCACGCGGTCTCTCCCCCAGGAGACCACCTACACCCTGCAGCCGTTTGCCAGCTTTGCCCTGAGCAAGCAGTGTCTGGCCTTGTCCCTGGATTGGTCCACTGGGAAGGCGGGAAGGTAAGGCCAGGTCTTCGCACTCATG